GTTGTTTTGCGCGGTTACATGTCTATACTATAATAAAAAGCAACAGCACACTCCAAAGTCTGACACGTGGCTGGCTTCTATACTCAACACGTCGCTTTTTTTTTTTTTTTTAAGAAAACCACGCTCTATGAAACAAAAATACGCGACTCTAAAAAATGTGAAGGGATTGGGGAAAATCTGGAAGAGAAGCGTTTGAGATTCTTCGATCTTCACGATGAGTTCGAAGCTAAATTTCAAAGTTTCAAAAATGATTCGTGTACCTTCCAAAAATTAATGAAAACCACTGAAATTCCTTTTTTCTCGCCGTCCCCATTGCAATTCAATAATATGCACTTTTCGTATTTTTTTGTTTTATCTTTTCGTTTTCTTCTTGCCAAATTTGTTTCCAAAACCACAAAATTTCGTTAGAATCTGGATTTTGTGGTCGATTTTTATTGTCTAAACAGACCACACACAAAAAAAAATATCATTGCTTAATTAACTTCAGGGTTTAACCTGTTTAAGAAATTATCTACCAAGACGTGAGTTTCCTCTGAAATGCAATAGGAACCGAGAAGAGGAATTGAAGTCGAGGTTAATCACCATGGCAGCAATCGATGATGTATCCAAATCCCTGGTAGAAAAATTAACTCTTTTGGTTCCGAATCAAATGATGTTCGTTTTTGTTGAATGTAATAGTTCTGCATCTGAAGATGGTGCGTTGAATGGTGAAAACGATATTGGTACTTGGAAGAATTCACAGGCTGCAACTTCGCCATGCTTCTTCTGTTGATGGCTTGAATAAATGAAGGTATTGAGATTTTCAATATGTGGGTTTAATCTACCTCAAATTCGCTCAAGTTCCTCTTTTGCTTCTCTTTTCATTTTCAATATTTACTTTTTAAACTGTTTTTGCTGTCTTCGAGATTGCAAAATCAAGCTCCACTTCTGATTTGTGACGATGTTTTTCATGCAACTACAAGTGTACAACAAAGACAACACTCACAGTCACATATGAGTATCTATTCTAATACATTATGAAGGAAGCCTGGTTTTAATTTTTTTGTGGAACCCCAACCCATCTATTTTGGTTTCAAATAGGAGACTCGGGATACGTGGAATGGCCACTGGCTTATCACCGCTACATGTGGAGCTGCAGGCTCTTATGTGGGCCATGACGAGTTTACACAGGAAAAAGCGGTATTGCGCTATATTTGCAACGGACTTACAAGAACTAATCAAGATGGTGGAAAAACCGGACGAGTGGCCAGGTTTTCGAACAGAACTAGATGAGTTGAAGGCGTTATTACCATCATTCCCAGACTTTACTTTAGTGTATTGGCCTCGGGAAAGGAATACAAAAGCGGATCTACCGGCTAGAAACGCTCGCTTCAGGAACTCGATTTTTTCGCATATTAGCACTTCGCTTCCTTATTGGTTCATAGATACTTCTATAATTTTGTAATCAATGAATGAAGTGCCTTCGT